ATGAGGCGTTTTTTGTTTTTGTTTTTTTACTTTCCTTTTAATGGAAATACAAGATACACTAGATTTAAAAATTTTGACCAAAAATAGAACTGTGTGTGTATACATAGGCATAAAAGAGACAATGGAAATTAATTGAAGGTTAGCTATATTAGATTATCTAATATAGTTTTTGAAAATTTTTACAACAAAATTTATTTCCTTTTAAACAAGTTGCTATGGGCCGAATATCCGTGTATCCTAAATTCTTACGTTGAAACTTCATACCCAAAATGACGGTATTAGGAGGGAAGTGCTTAGGTCATGAGGGTGGAACCTTCATGAATAGGATTGAAGAAAGTGAAAGTGTTGCTGAATTGTGTCCAACTCTTTGCAACTCCATGGACTGTAGCCAGCCACGCTCCTCTGTCCATGGAATTCTCCAGGCAAGAATACTGGAGTGGGTTGCCATTCCCTTCTCCGGGGGATCTTCCCAACCCAGGGATCGAACCCAGGTCTCCCACATTGTAGGCAGATTCTTTACCATTTGAGCTACCCGGGAAGCCCCATGAGCAGGATTAGTGCTCTTATAAAAGAAACCTCATAGAGTGTCCTTGTACCTTCCAGAACGTGAGGACACAGCAAACAGTCAGCAGACTGCAATCCAGAGGAAGGCCCTTACCAGTACCTGACCATGCTGGCATCTTGATCTTGAACATCTAGCCTCCAGAACTATAAGAAATAAATATGTGTTGTTTACTAGCTACCCAATCCATGGTAGTTTTTTATAGCAACCTAAGGGCTTCCCAGATGGCACTAGTGGTAAAAAAGCTGCCTGGCAATACAGGAGACGTAAGAAACTCGGCTTTGAGCCCTGGGTCGTGAGGATCCCCTGGAGGAGGTCATGGCAAACCACTCCAGTATTCTTGCCTGGAGAATTCTGTGGACAGAAGAGCCTGGTGGGCTACAGTCCGTAGGCTTGCAAAGAGACATGACTGAAGTGACTTAGTATGCACGCACAAAGACACAAGTGAAATATTTAAAACTATAAATATATAAATTAAAATTTTAAACTTCCAAGTTTTTTATTATATTAAAAGATTTGGATTATTAATAAAACAAAAATTATGTCTACATCAATATTTAATTCAGGAGTTGATGCAAAATACATTGAATTTTAAAAATACCCTTCAAGTAATAATACCCTCCAAATACGTGTACTTCTTAGGCAGTGTTTTCCTTTGAGAGAAGTGGATATGAGTTCAAGACCTTGATTTCTTCCTACAGAAATTGAAAGGAGTATGGCTTCATTTTTTCTGTTATGACCCATCCAGAGTTGAATTATTTCATCAGAAGAAGGATCATTCCCCTGATTCAAAAAACTTGAAGTACTCAGAAAATCATAGGATGAATTTTCTAAAGGAAACAACCACTCCAGATATCTGAGGGCTCTTCATCACATACTCTGTTCCTCCAGAGAAAACATGTTGGCTGTAAACGTCAGTAAACAGAACTTCAGCAAGGCACATGCAACTTTTATAGCTCAAAACTTACCATCGATTTTTTTTTCTGAAGGCCTTTCAGATCTAAATTAATTTTTAATACACTGACCTAAGATGCCAGCTATTTTCAGATAAAAATATCAGATAGCCCTTAACTTAAAAGGATGCTGTGAGATATAAAATGGGTAAAGTATTGCACCACCAGAAACCTACAGGGATAGAGAAAAATTATACCCAATGGCTTCATGTCACTGGGTGCAGAAAGGCTGGTGGATAAAAGTCCGTAGGGAGACCTTGGAATGCACCAGGGGTCTCGGTCTGCTCTGTTTTTAGGTTATTATACTTCTCAGGTACAGGTTCTGCTCAAGACCCCTGAACACAGACAGCATGTTAGCAAACAGCACCCCCTTAGAGAAAGAGAAAGACCACCCAGGCAGAGGGCACATATATGATACTTAGAATAAGAAATAAACATATTTGATCTTAGTCCTCGGTTCCTGGTACAGAAATTTCTAAGACTCTAGGAATCTCTAGAATGATTTGTCCGCATGCATATTCAGTCGTGTCCAACTCTTTGCGGCCCCATGGACTGTAGCCTGCCAGGCTCCTCTGTCCACGGGATTTTCTTGGGAAGAATACTGGAGTGGGTTACATTTCCTTCTTTAGTGTCTATTGTATGTTAATGAGTGGTGGTTGGGTGCTCATCTCTTCAGGAGTGGGGCAGGATTGGGTGGGGGGCTGGTCCCAGAAAGACAAGGGGCAGATTAGAGAACTGGAACTTCCAGCCCCAAGCCAGACCTCCAGTAGAGAGAGAGTGTCTGGAGAGTGAGTTCAGTCACTAATGGCCAATGATTTAATCGATCATGCATGCATAATGAAGCTGCCATAAAAACCCCGTAAACTATGGGGTTCCAGAAGCTTCCAGGCTGATGAGAGCATTCAGGGGCTGGGAGAGTGGGGCAACCTGTACTGGAGCTCCATGCACCCCTCGCATTACTCTGTGCATCTCCTCCGTCGGGTTGTATCCTTTATAACCCACTGGTGAAGTGAAGCGAAAGTCGCTCAGTCATGTCCGGCTCTTTGCGACCCCATGGACTACGCAGTCCAATGAATTCTCCAGACCAGAATACTGGAGTGGATAGCCTATCCCTTCTCCAGGAGATCTTCCCAACCCAGGGATCGAACCCAGGCCTCCATCATGGCAGGCAGATTCTTTACCAGCTGAACCACCAGGGAAGCCCAAGAATACTGGAGTGGGTAGCCTGTCCCTTCTCCAGTGGATCTTCCTGACCCAGGAATCAAACTGAGGTTTCCTGCATTGTAGGTGGATTCTTTACCAGCTGAGCTATCAGGGGAGCCCCAACAAACTGGTAATAGTAAATAAAGCGCCTTTCAGAAGTTTGTGAGTCAGCAAATTCTCCCACCTGAGGAGGGGCTGTGGGAACCCTTTCACTTCATAGCAGGTCTCTGGGAGGTACCGGGGGCAGCCTGAGGCTTGTGACTGGCATCTAGGGTGGGGGCAGTCTTTCCGGACTGTCCTCCCTTCTGGTGGTGGTGGTGGTGGTTTAGTTGCTCAGTCGTGTCTGACTCTTTCGATCCCATGCATTGTAGCCCGCCAGGGTCCTCTGTCCCTGGGGTTCTCCAGGCAAGAATACTGGAGTGGGTTGCCATTTCCTTCTCCAGAGGATGTTCCCCACCCAGGAATCAAACCCAGGTCTCCTGCACTGCAGGCAGATTCTTTACCGACTGAGCTATGAGGGAAGCCCCCAGTAACTGCAGGCCATTAAGGTCAGAAGTGGATTTACCTGTAGGACACCTAGTTGGGATACAGCCAGTTGGAAAATTGGTTGTTGTGAGGAGAAAAAAATAGAACCACCCCCAACTCCTCCCCTCCACATGTGGTGTTATAAGTGTTACAAATAATGAACAGTCCAGAGTATATGAGGCTCATAGTTACAGAATGAGTTGTTTGATTAGAAAAGAAGAGATGGTCAAGTTTTATTTTCCAAGATTAATAAAATGACTGTTGCTGTTTCACACCACCAGGTTTAGAGGTAGCTTCTTACACAACAAGAGCAAGCACCAGATCAGATCCTGGCGTCTGGAAGGGGGAGCTACTGAAATGCAAATTGAAAGCAGCTCTCTCCACCCTCCACCCCATCCCCCACCCCTGCCCCCGGGAATGCTTGTCTCATCCCTGGGCCTCCTGTATTCGCCCCTTACCTGAAATGCTTGTCTTTTGTTTCTGGAGGGAGATTTCCTACCACGCAATGTGCTTCTCAGTCTAGGGGCAGTGGGTAGCAGGGCTCAGCAGGTCCCAGGTCAGGATGTATGGTGAGAAAGAGGATGCAGTCAGAGAGGGCATGACGCCAGCCATCTGTGTGCAGCCAGCCTGACCCACTTAGCAAGTGGCAACACCCACACCAGAATATGAATGCCACGGCATCCTTAGGAATCTGCTTTGGACTTTGTATTTGGTGGATTTCTTCACCCAGAAACACGTATGCACCTTCTCTGGTTTAAACAGCACGTGGTTTGTTTTTGTTTGGGGGGGTGGGATGAGGTTTATTTGCTAGTTTCCTGTGCTCCACCTGAAGAATGTCCTTTCCTTCTTTTTTTTAATATTTTTATCAGAGTATAGTTGCTTTATAATGTTGTGTTAGTTCCTACTATACAGCAAAGAGAATCAGCCATTCATATATGTATAGACATATATGGAGAATGTCCTTTAGCTTTGCTGGGGCAGAGGGTCAGGTATCATAGCTCCCTGCTGTGTGTGGTGGGCCCAGACGTGCATCCAGGACCGGGGCCACTGCCACGGTCTCCGTGGTCTTCCCACTTTGGGGGTCTGCACTCCCTCCTCCTCCTGTGTCCCTCTCCTGTCTCCTGCAGCATCCTGCCGGCTCTGAGAAGACACCTCTTTATGTCTCTCAGAAATAAGCCCAGTCATGTTCTATTTTTAGTGGGTCTTAAATGCCCTGCAAAAGAAGTTTCTAGAAAAAGGAGTTGGACGCTGGCCCAACACCCAGGGGGACCATGGTGGGCTGGGGGCCGGGAGTCACTGGCGGGAGGTCAGGGCCACCTTGCTCAGGCCCCTTGGGCCGTGAACCTGGATGATCACACCCAGAGAAATGTGGGAGTCCAGGTCAGATTGCCCTGCGCAGGAGAGAAGTCAGCTGGCTGTACCTGTCCTAGACCTTGAGGGAGAATGACCAGAAAGGTCACAGAGGAGGAATTCTAGCAGCCCTGATGCAGGCCCCACCAACCTCAAAGCCCAGTGTCTCCAGCCTTACCCTCGGGAAAGAGCGAGGAGCCTAGCAGTGAGGACGCATGGGGAGACTGCTTCCCTGTGCCCGTCCTTAGCCTTGAGTGTTGGGCGAGCCTGACTCCCTCGCCCCCTGCCCTGCTTGCCGTCCTGGAGGTCTGGGAGAGCCCCGGGTCAGCACGTGGCAGTGGCCTTTGACTTCAGGGCCTGCGATTCGTCCCCTGCTGACAGGTGACCTTGTGTGTTCTGTTCTGTAGTTCTTCCCATATGGAGATGCCTCCAAGTTTGCCCAGCACGCCTTCCGCACCTTCGACAAGAACGGGGACGGTACCATCGACTTCCGAGAGTTCATCTGCGCGCTGTCCATCACCTCCAGGGGCAGCTTTGAACAGAAGCTGAACTGGGCTTTCAACATGTATGACCTAGACGGGGACGGCAAGATCACCCGAGTGGAGATGCTAGAGATCATCGAGGTGAGGTCCCCGGTGTTCTCAGGGCCTGGGCTGCTGCTGGCAGGAAGGCAGACCTTGGGAAGAGGCTCCCTGGGCACAGGCCTATGGCAATCCCCTTCTCCCGCACCCGGAGCCCTGGCAGGCCTTGAATCCTCTGTCCTGTCCCCGCCCTCCATGCTGGATAATGTCTCAGCTCCAACCTGCTGGGCTCTGACTGTCAACCACATTTCAACCAGCCATGCTTGCACTGTGGGATCTTCCACCAACAAGAGCCTAGAGGGTGCGAAGGATGGTATCAGGACTCAGCTTCTGCGGCCCTTGGCTTAGCTCTGCCCTGCTGGACGCCACTGTCTTCCTCAAGCCAGCTTCCCCACGGGGGGCACAAGATGCTGCCCATGGTCCACAGTTTCCCATCATTCCACGTGGACAAGCATCCTCCTCAGTTGCCTGTGCAAATGTCCCAGGACCCCCTGCCCACTGCTGCAGCCTCAGTCTTCAACACCACTCCTTACACACTGAGTGTGATACCTGGGCCTTGGTTTTCCTGGAACACACAGCCTCACATCAGGGCCTTGATATCCTCTCCCTCTGCCCGGGACAGCCCCCAGTTCCCCTCATTCCTCTTGGGGCTGCCCCCTCATCTCAACATCTTGGCAGGCCTTCCTCTCTGAACTCACATCCCCCTACCCCTGGGCCATCTAAGCCCTCACCAACATTGTCTTTTTTTTTTTTGGTCACAGATTTTATCACTGCCCTAAATAACCTGATACAATAGAACACAAGCTACATGTAAAGAGAGAGCCCTACTCTCTCACCGCGGTATCCCTCCAGCCTAGAACAGTCCGGGAGCCTGCTGGGCACTCACCTGCTGATGAGTGCATGCCTCTTCCCTCTCTGACGGTCTTAGCTTGTGTGTTCACCTCTGCGCTGACCAGGTGACCCAAAGAGGGAGGTGCGCTACAGGCAGGACCAAGTGTCTCATCCTGGAGCTGGGGCAAGGCCCTGCCCAGACCACAGGGCTGAGATTTGGGGGGCAGCAGGGGTGGGGGTGGATCCCCAAAGCAGAGCTAAGGGGTGATGGCAAGAAACAGTAGTCAAAACCCAAGTGACCAAAACCCCCAGCTGCCCACTAGGCTATGCTGACTCTCCTCCCTCTGGGGCCGCTCCCCAGCGCAGTCAGCGCTGGCCTCTGGAACCCTGCCTTCCACTTACCCCACCCACCCCAGCATCTTTAGTCCCTTCTCTGCCTTTAGTATCCACTTCCCTTCCCAAGTAACTGGGAGACCCAGTAAGGTTCAGGCATGGAGTTGGCTACAGGGCGTTGAGCACCAAACCATCAAAAAATGAAAAAATGATAATAAACCTACTTCTCAAGACTGTGGTAATAATTAAGCACCTGGAACACTTTCTCTCAGGCTTCCCTGGTGACTTGGTGGTAAAGAATCTGTCTGCCAAGGCAGGAGACGCAGGTTCGACCCCAGGGTCAGGAAGATCCGCTGGAGAAGGAAATGGCAGCCGACTCCAGTATTCTTGCCTGGGAAATCCCATGGATGGAGGATCCTGGTGGGCTACAGTCCGGGGGTCACAAAGAGTTGGACACGACTGAGCGACTAAACAATACTTCCTGCCATGTAGGAAATGCTCAGTACATAGCAGTTCACTCTCGAGGCTCTGTCTCCCTTGGAAACACCATTCACCTCAACTCTCAGCTCCTTTCCTTCTGGTCAGCTGTGCCCCTTCTTCATGCTCCCTCTGAACGTGGCTCCCTATCTCCTCCTCCGGTATTTTCTCCAGCTTCTAGCCCTCTGCACTTGCACCCTGGCACCCTTTCAGGCCTCCAGGTTCCTTTTTGCTGAGTCGCCTTTTCAGAACCGAGGTATCAGTAACTGACACAGTCTTAACAGCATCTCGGTACTTCAGGAGCTGCTCATTCATTTGGTCAAGTCTTTACAGACTTTTGTGCCTCCATGCCAGGCACAGCCGTGCACACAGATTCGGCTGTCCAGCTGACATCCGTTCGCTTGCATGTCCGCTGCAGCCTCACTGTCCTTCCAGGGCGGCTCACCCTTGAACACACACTGCTGGCCACTTTGGCCTCTACCATGCTTTTCACCTGGGCTTTTCACCTTTTCTTTCAGGGCTCTGGGCCCATCCAAATCCTTCTTTAGGCTTTAAGGTCTAGGGTATTCGCCATCATCATAATCCAATTGTAGAACCTTTTTATTCTCCCAATAGGATCTCTTATGCTCATGGGTATCCCTAGGTTCTGGAAACATACCCTTCTACTTTTTCTTTATGGATTTGTCTCACTGAGCATTTCATATAGATGGAATCCTACAATATACATTTGGCCTTTTATATATGGCACCTTTTTTTGACATTTATCTATGTTGTAGCATCTATCAGCGTTTCATTCCTTTCTGTTGCTAAAATTATATGCAGTTGTATAGATATGTCGTATTTTATTTATCTCTTTGCCAGTTGAGTATTTGTGCTGTTTCACTTTTGGGCTATTATTGAAATTGCTGCTATATGTTCACCTACAAGTCTTTGTGTAGATGAGCATTTCTTTTTTAAGGCACTTTCCTAAGAATGAGACTCGTTTCTACCTTTAATTTCCATTTTGAGAATTACATATGTGCAGTTGAATGGAAAATGGAATCATCTTACTGTGTTCTTTCACTCATGAAGAGAGTCCCTGACTTGCAGATCCCCCTCAGCTAACTTCTTTTAGGGCTTAATTTTACTGGTGCACCTCACTTGCTTTCTTGACAGATTCTAAGTCCCCTAGCAGTTGGGACCACTGATTATGGTCTATTTCATCTGGGACCACTTCATCTTTTCCTAGATCTCCAAGGAGTATAGCTTGTTGATTGCCATCTGACCTTAAACTCAGAAGTTTTCAAACCGAGCTCATCATTTTCCTCCCTAAACCTCCCTGATCATCATTCTTGATCTCACCACAACTCTTCACTCACTTCCTCCAGCCAGAAAATTTAGGAGTCACACGAAATTCTTCTCTATCCCATTAGTCATGAGACTCACACCGATTTGATTACACCACTCTCTTATTTAAAAGCATTTAAGGAGTTCTTTGAAGTAAATTTAAATTCTTTACCCCATCTTAGGTAAACTTTATGATCTATTTCTTGTCTTCCCAAGGCTATCTACAAAATGGTGGGCACGGTGATCATGATGAAAATGAATGAGGATGGCCTCACGCCCGAGCAACGAGTAGACAAGATTTTCAGCAAGATGGATAAGAACAAAGATGACCAGATTACACTGGATGAATTCAAAGAAGCTGCCAAGAGCGACCCTTCCATTGTACTACTTCTGCAGTGCGACATTCAGAAATGAGCAGAGGTCAATGCTATGGACTGCACAAGAGTATCAATGTTCCATTCAGTCTGCAGCTATTAACACACACACACAGACACACACACAAATATCGCTTGGACTACCTATAAATGGACTTGCTTCTTGTGTTTGAAACACTTGTGTGCATGAGAATGTCATTTGCTAATGAATTTTAAAAGCATATATATTATAAAACAGACAACCTGCCATGATGTGATATGTGTAATATCATTTCATAAAAAAACCTTCCTCCTCCAAAGCCTGGGCAGAAACGTGCTGCAAAGAGTTCTATGATTTCTTGTTCATGTTTTGCTATTGCTTGTGTCTCCTTGATTACATAATGTTAGTAGCACTGAGACCCCCACGGTAATGTAATTGAATTTTAAGCTGTGTCACCATTCTCCTGTAAAATAGTACTAGACAGACACATAGAGGAGATCTTGACTCCTCTGTGTGGTCCACACACAAGAGCTTGTATTATCAGTGAATATAAATGTACGACATTTGCATGCCTTTTAGGTTTGCCTTAATTCTTACCTCATTTGCACCCTATCAACCTGGAAAGAGCTGTGTTGGAATTAATGCAGTATAAACCTTACAAACTCTGCTAAATGACTCATAAGTATATCTATCTATAATATACATATACTCAAAGATATTATTTATTGAAAGTAAAAAAAAAAGATGGATGTGTATTGATTTCTGCTTGAATTTTCAAAGGCTTCCAAAGAGGTGGCAATAGATGTCCCAAATAAATTTATAACATTTGACTTTTTCCCTCAGTTCTTATTTCATAATTTCAAATTAGAAACAGATGTTTCATAATCATCCAGGGTAAGTAGCAACAAACTTCCTAAATTTCCCTTTGAACACACAACTTGGGAATTTGAAGACATAGTGACAACCAACGGGAAAAAAGCAACTTCTCGATATTTCATCCTGGCTCTCAGAAGCGGGAAAATTAATATGGCATGTCAAGTTTAAATAAAACATAAAACTTGCTCATTCTCAAAAAATGCTCACTACATGAGAATACATGCTATCTCAGTGTGACTGTGTGTGAAGTTTTACACAACACACTGAGTGAGAAGCGTCCTCTGAAAGATGCTGGCAGAAAAGGGGCCCTCTGTCTTGCCACATCATAAACGTACTCATGGTTTTAAAGATGGAACAAAATCCTGACGCTTTTGAGCTTGAGGAAGGAAGGCAGAGAGATTCCATGAAGAGCCCTAGGGGCGGGTTTGCGTTTTCAGAGCAAGCATGGATGAGACTGGTTTCTTTCTTCAGGACCATCCAGTAGAACTTGCTGGGATGGTGAAAACTTCTGCACTGGCTGCATGTGACTTTGGAGCACTTCAAGTTCAGCTAATATGACTGGCAAGCTGCATTTTTCATTTTATTTTAATTAATTTACATTTAATTTTCCCCATATAGCGAGTTGTCATCATACCAGACAGTACAGTGCTAAACTATTCACTTTTTATGGGCTGCCTTTTTTCCTAAATATTCATCCCTTGTCTGTCTTAGGATCCTTAAGTGAGACCAGAGACCAGGGCCTGATGATTCCATTCAACTATTCAGCAAGAAACTGGGAGTGAGCAAAACTCCCCACAAACTCTCAGGAGACCGGCAGTACCTGAAACCCTGCCAGACCACACTTCCGCTCCCAGAGAGAACAGTCCCAAGGGCTCATAGGACTTCCGGGTGCCTGTAACCCTGGGCTTGGTGAGTCCAGAATGGAGGCAGGGGGAGATGGGGTCATTCAGAGCCCCCAGTACTCTCTCTGATTGAGGGTGGGGTGGAGGTGGTGGGTCAAGGAACTGGGAAGACACCTTAGAAAGGCACTTGGTGAAATCAAGCTCGAGTCAATGAATTCTTAGCAAATTTTGATTGATCACCTATAACACACCCAACACCATTCTTCTGGGGAGAGACAGACAGTAACCACACACACACACCACACAAACGTCCAGTTGTAAGAACTCTGAAGAAAAGCACAACAGGTGAAGACAGATGGAAAATGATGGGATGCAGCAGTGGTGTTTGCTCTAAGTTGGTTAGGTGACACTGATGTAAGACCCAAGCGAAGGAAGTGAGCCACATGGGTATTTGGGGCACTTAGGAAAAATAAACTCTCCAGGGTCTTCTCTGGTGATCTAGCAGTTGAGACTCCACATTTCCACCAGAAGGGGCATGGGTTTGATCCCTGCTCAGGGAACTAAGATCCCGCATGCCCCTTGGTGCAGCCAAACAAACAAGAAAAAAACAAACCACACACCCTCCTGCAGACTCGGTTCAGTTCAGTTCAGTCTCTCAGTCATGTCTGACTCTCCGCGACCCCATGGACTGCAGGACATTAGGCCTCCCTGTCCATCACCAATTCCTGGAGTTTACTCAAACTCATGTCCATTGAGTCAGTGATGCCATCCAACCATCTCATCTTCTGTCGTCCCCTTCTCCTTCCGCCCTCAATCTTTCCCAGCATCAGGGTCTTTTCAAATGAGTCAGCTCTTCGCATCAGAGGGCCAAAGGAATGGAGTTTCAGCTTCATCAGTCCTTCCAATAAACACCCAGGACTGATCACCTTTAGGATGGACTGGTTGGATCTCCTTGCAGTCCAAGGGACTCTCAAGAGTCTTCTCCAATACCACAGTTGAAAAGCATCAATTCTGCGGCCCTCAGCTGTCTTTAAAGTCCAACTCTCACATCCATACATGACTACTGGAAAAACCATAGCTTTGACTAGACGGACCTTTGTTGGCAAAGTAACGTCTCTGCTTTTTAATATGTTATCTAGGTTGGTCATAACTTTTTTCCCAAGGAGCAAGTGTTTTTTCATTTCATGGCTGCAATCACCATCTGCAGTGATTTTGGAGCCCAAAAAAATAAAGTCTGCCACTGTTTCCACTGTTTCCCCATCTATTTGCCATGAAGTGATGGGACTGGATGCCATGATCTGTTTTCCCAGCAGACTCACTGAGAAATAAATAAAATGTAGAAATTGGGCCAGCAAGTGAACATCTTATTATTTGTTTTAGTCCTCACTACTCTACTAGTATAGATTGGTGCAGGGTGCTGAGAGCAGTTTGTCAGTATTGGTTAGAATAAGTGCACATATGCCCTCTGACCCAACATCCCCACTCTTGGGTATGTTGCCCAAGATGCTCTCACAGGGGTCTGTATGGGGACTTGTCCCAGCATGTCCATGACAACTCTGTTTCTGGTGTGGGGACAGGAGGTGACTAGTGGTTCGTGACTAGAAGCCTAGGTGAGTAAGACATGGTACATTCACCCTATGACCCACTAACCTTCAGCTGGGAGCCAACGTCCACACACAGGTTTTACAATGCTGAAAGGGAGAAAAAGCAACAGTGAAATCTGTTGCACAGTATAATACATACAAATGAAGCATACATTCTCACAAAAGAACGCCAAAGGCACATAAAATAAAAGGAAATATCACATCAGAGTTGGGGGGTGTACCACATCATTTTATCCTCTCCAAACTGTGATGGCTTAAAATAGAAGCCATCATCTTAATATTCCTCATAGCTACTGTGGGTTGGGAATTTGAGAAGGTTCACCTGAATGTTTCTGGTTGGGGGTTTCTCATGCAGTTGCAGCCACATGATAGTTTGAGCTGAAACAGGTCCCTGGAGCAGCCTAGAGTGGAGAGGGCATCCCTCCTCTTCCAGCCTCAGAGCGTCTCCACACAGGCTAGTCTGTGCTTCCTCACCACATGGCAACTTCAGAGCAGCCATAATACTTACCTGATGGTTCAGATCTCCAGCAGAGGCATTCCTGCAAAGCAACTGGAAGTTTCATGGCCTTTTCTGACCTAGCCTCAATTGTCATGAAGCAGCACTTCCACAGCATTCCATTGATTACAGGAAAGTCACAAACCTAGCCCATAGTCAAGAAGGAAATTAGACTCCATGTCTTTCTTGATGGGTTCTAAAAAGTTTCTAGAAGAACAGGAGCAATGTTGCTGCCACCCTTTTTGGAAAACCATTGGCCACAGTCTGCCCTGTAGCCACAATCCATCTCTTCCACTTTCAAAATGCATTCACCTGCTTCGAAGTAACGACAAAAGTCGGGCGTGAAGCCCCAGATCCCACCATCTAAAGGTTCCTCAGAGTTGGTTCATCAAATATAGCACATTGAGACCATTCTTTTTGATCCAAAGGCCTGTGGATAACCAATAGATAATTATTGCCCCCTTTCCCACTCACCTTACACAACATTGAATGTTTGGGATGGGGAAGCATAGTCAAAGCTATGGTTTTTCCAGTAGTCATGTATATATGTGAAAGTTGGACTATAAAGAAAGCTGAGCACAAAAGAATTGATGCTTTTGAACTGTGGTGTCGGAGAAGACTCTTGAGAGTCCCTTGGACTGCAAGGAGATCCAACCAGTCCATCTTAAAGGAAATCAGTCCTGAACACTCATTGGAAGGACTGATGCTGAAGCTGAAACTCCAATACTTGGGCCACCTGATGGAAAGAACTGACTTATTTGAAGAGACCCTGATGCTGGGAAAGATTGAAGGCAGGAGAAGCAGACAACGGAGGATGAGATGGTTGGATGGCATCATCAACTCAATGGACATGAGTTTGAATAAGCTCTGGGAGTTGGTGATGGATAGGGAAGCCTTGCGTGCTGCAGTCCATGAGGTTGCAAAGAGTTGGACACGACTGAGCAATTGAACTGAACTGAAGCATAACTACAGTAGAGACACACTTTCAAAAAAGGGGAAACTGGAAAGCTTAAGGTAATCTCTGGTCCATAGCAATTCTAATATCCAGCTAAGTACATTTTGTAATTTCCTTGATTAAGGCTCAGTCCTACTTTCTGCGGGTTGTTCTCCAGGGCTTTTGGCTCTGCCTTTTGTGTTCTTGTTTCTATCTTCTGAGTTAGCCTTCCTTTTTCATAAAAAAAGTAGCCTGTGTATAGCTGAGTGGTTTCTCTGCCTACTGCCTGCCCATAAGGTTTCAGGAGT